GCTGGCATTTTTCGAGTAATACCTCAACTATTACATTTTTTAATTAACTCTCCTTTACCAATAAAACCGAAATCCTGCTTAGTATACGACTGAAAAATTGTAAAATGGTGTGAGTGAACAGCTTCTAAGCACACTGCGTCACTTTTTCAACTCCTCTTAATTTTATCAAGCTTTTTTGGCTAGTTTCGCATTTTTCGGCTTTACTCTTTTATCACGTAACAATATTGAATCCCCTTTAGCATACGTATACTTATAAAAGTGATGCATAATACGATGTGTGTGCAATATTTTTATGTTATATGTATAAGATAAAAATCTTATGTTTTTATACTCAGCGCGCCAGAAATCGCGTCGCGCAATACACCGGTAGTAATGGGTTTATATGTAGCGCTTTCCTGGAAGAAGAGTGTCATACGTTTTGCTCAACTTGTTGCTTATTGACAATAGTTCCTCATAGAAAGTGAAAAATGCATTTAAGCAGCCTCGTGGTCCCGGAGAAGGAACTCAGACAGCAGTGTGAGTTTGCCAACTACAGTATATATCTCATGTGATCGATTGTGATCTAGTTGCCTATCAAGTTAATGTGAATTTTTTTTTTACTTACGTGTGCAGTTTTAAATTGCTCGTTAGTGTATGTATATCATTCCTCAATTGTATTGAAAATTTATGAAAGCTGCTATTTTTAAATAGCAGGGGTCTCCATTTATCGGAGTGGAACAGTGAGTGGATTAGAACAGTTTACGTTTCCTCATGCTGTTGCGATTTCTACTTCTTGAAAATCCAACTATACTCTAGTTCGCTGCGGATGAAGGGGCGTGTCAGGCAGTATGAGTGTAACAGGCGCCAAACCTGTTTTCTGCCAGTTGTTGAAGCGGGTATGCGACAACACCTGGGATACGAACGATGTGATACAATCTTCGTCACTTGCTCGCCTCAACAACTGGTGGAGAACGGATTTGGCACCGTGCCACAATCATCTCGCCTGACACGCCTCTTCGTCCGCGACGAACTGGACTGTACATTTCCACTCGGGTGTATGGAGTACCCGGAGCGATTCCAAATCCGCGTGTTAGATTTCATTTATCCTAATCAAATCAATAGGTACAACGGCCCAAAGTAATATTATTTTCGGAATGCTTCCCAATACCTCGCATATTCTTGTGGGCTCACATTATCATGTTCAAAATGTGTTTTTTTTACATTTCTCTCACAATTTTTATTCGAATATAGGACTGTAAGTATACTCATTTTTGGCATGTCAAGGCTAGCTGCTTCAAGTTGTACTAATGTTCAAACGTCTCAAGTCACCACAGTACTTTCTATTTAGAACGGAGTCAATTTCTACAGGCCCTTCACTGATTCCTTCCCTTCTCCCCTCCGTTGTGGTGGTTTGACCTAGCTCTGGACGAGTTGTCTCGTCTTGGCGTTGGGATCTGGACTTCGCAGAAGTAATGACTCCTACTTGAGGCCGACTTTGGTTCAAGAAACATAAGGATCTAGAAAATTAGTGACTAAAGGGGGGCGTAGTATTGTAACTGCCGTTGAGAAGCTAGTGGACCACAACTTCCCAATGTGAAGGACACGCATACCTTTCCACTTTAACACCCACGCTACGAGTCCTTATGAGCGAACCCAGCCATACACTTTGCTAGAAATCGCTTGGAGATGTCACAGCGTTGATCCTGAAACGGTTGGTATTAAATCAGTATGACTGTGCGACGAAAAGTATCGATTTGATTTTGATTACATTTCATGTTCTAACGGATTTGCTTTCTTTATTTTGTTACCTTGCACTACTCTGAGGCTGAAGGCCTTAAAAAAGCGGTCGATGGCCGCGAATTATCATGGTGGTGACACATGTGGACGCGTCTTTGACGAACAACTCGTCCAAGATCTACTCAACTAGGGGTTTTCATGGCTGTTCTATGAAAGTACATCACTATGTGAAGCGAGGAGCACAAAAATCAGCGTCAACGGTCTTGTGGAGGCTAACTATCATGGAAATGCAACTGTTAGGTGAGCTGGATAAATTATCCGGCTTTGGAGACATCCTAGGACGTGACCGTGGCAATGTGACTGTATGCGATCCGCTTACACTCTTATAATACGTAAAAGTTACGGGTTATAAACACCGCAGAGAGCATTGAAATAGCTGTGTGGCCTATGATCAGAAAATCGTAATTTTTACGCGCGAAGCGACGCCGCGTCGCCGAGAGACGAGTTGTCTGTTCCTTCAAACTGGAATGTATGACAGGGAGCCAGAAGGAGCGCGGGGTGTTGGTGGAGCGCGCCAGCCATAAGCTGTTTTGGCGCCGTTACAGAGGCCGTGCCGCGAGAGACGAGTCCCCCTCCTGCTCACACATGTGAAATGTGGGCGGAATTATAGAAAAAAAAGCAAATATGCACGAATCCAACGAGTTTTGCTGCTGTAAATGAGGAAACGAGGTCACGCACAGTTTGAGTTCCCCGCACCTATTGCCGAATGGTGTCTGTTGAAAATTTCGCGCGCTCATCGCCTGACAGTGCGCTGCGCCGGAGGCGCGGCAAGTGACGATTCTCTTGTCCGTCTCAGAATATAGTGCGCGCTTTGGTTGAGTCCTGTGATATAGTCTGGAGGATTTCGACTACGTTCTAAATATAGTGTGAGTGTTGTTGTTGTTACTAGTGTTGTCTAACTCTAATCAGTTACTCTTACGGCACACTTGTTGAGCTCAGAATATTATGAACTTGAATGTGTTTCAAATTGAATGAAATCCAACTTCATGTGATTTTAGTGATTCTTTGTACGGTATGTGTATAGTGCGATCATCGAAAGGCATGTGCTTATTCATTTAGAATTGTATTGAATAAATTCATAATCATATTGAATAAATTATTTATTCACTAACAGTATCACTTATGTTATTACAACAATCACAACATACTGTATACCTTATCACAGTGTCAAGTTATGAGACCAAGTTTGAGACGCTACTGCTCCTCCTTGTCAATGTTGTACGCCGGGTTGTACGTCGGTATGTACTGTGAAACTTCAAAGGATGTTGCCGTTATTTCCCCTGCTGCAAACAAATACAAAAATTAAAATGTAGATGAAGGAGTACAGAATATTTCATTCAAAGATATATTCCGCTATAAGTGGGCAAAAAAGTACGTCCTGGCAACAACTGCGCATTTCCGTGCGTACTCTATAGTGCATTCGTCTCTGCCTCTCTCCCATATTGTCCCTCACAGTTACGCCTCTTGTTGCTCCGAGATATTTCTTAGATTCAGATTCATCGACTGTAGACTCTCCCCTTTTCGGGTAGTGGAGGTCAGGGCACCTCCTGACGCTGGGGGAAATTTTTAGGAAACTACGATCATCTCTCCCATCCTACCGAACACTTTCCTAGATTCCTTTTCGAACGAAGGAGGGGGGAGGAGGGAGGTACATACAGTCCTCATCATTAGGCTGCGTTTATACTTTGCGGCAGCGTAGCGTAGCGTAGCGCAGCGTAGCGTAGCGCTTCCAGCGTACGCCAGC